TTCTCGCACCCAGAAGCAACTACAAAGCTTCCTGGGATTTGAGAACTTTTACCGCCAGTTTATCCCCTCATTTGCCCAGATAGTCCTCCCCATCACCAACCTGCTAAAGACAAAAGGGGAGGGGAAACCCAAACCCATCCAGCCACTTAAATGGACTGTAGAATGGTAAACTGCATTCAAAAAGCCTAAGCGCTTGTTCACAGTGGAGCCAGTGCTGAAACACCCAGACCCCAACACCCCCTTCATCATTCAGACTGATGCTAGTAATGTTGCAGTGGGTGCAGTGCTTTTACAGGAAAACACGCAAGGGGTCCTGCATCCCTGCACCTACACTTCTAAAAAGCTAAATGAGATGAAGCAGAGATGGGCAGTCTGGGAGAAGGAAGCCTATGTGGTGCGCTGGGTGCTTCTAACTTGGAGGCATTTTCTAGGAGGGAAAACTGCTTTTGAAGTATAGACTGACCATAAAAATTTAGAAGTATTAAAAATCACCCAGAGATTATCACCCAAACAGGCTTGCTGGGCCCAGTATTTTAACCGACTTGACTTCACATTAAGGTACCTCCCAGAGGGGAGGAACTTTCTAGCAAATGCTTTATCCAGACTGTTGCAATACAATAGTTCAATGCCAGAGGTGATTAAACTGGTCATCCCCTCCAGGCGGCCTCACCCAGGCACAAGCCAAAATGAAAACCCAACTAGCTGATGATTTAAAGGGTATCCTAAAGGCAGCTTTGGAGGAGGATGAGTGGTTCCAAATGCACAAGGGAGAATGTACAATGCAAGATGGTCTAACTTGGGTGAAGCTAAACTATATGTATCACAAAGCCGATGATTAATCAAGCAGCAATTTTGGTGACCATCATTGAATAAGGACATAGAAAGCTATGTGGCTAGCTGCCCCATTTGTGCTCTGCCAAGAGATGACAAGGAAAAACACCAATGCTTCTCCAGCCAGTAGCAGAGCCCAAAGCCCCATGGAAAGAGATATCAATGGACTTTATTGTAGAATTGTCTGAATGCTTGGGTAATACAGTGATCTGGTGATAACTGATCTGTTCTCCAAGCAGGTGCACTTTATACCCTGTCCAATCAATCAATGTATTACAGCCAAAGGCCACACATAAATCAAACATCCAAATAAAACAAAACTAATCAGAACCATCACAAGTGGACATAGCAATACATCACATATACCCTGTCAAAAATTCCCCTCAGCATGTGTTTTGGTTAAACTTTTCGTGCAGTACATCTATCGGCTGCATGGTGCTCCTGAAAGAATAATTTCAAATTGCGGAGTCCAATTACTTCGCACCTTCGGCAGGAGTTCCCTAAAACTTTGGGGGACCACTCAAGGGCTCAGCTCCTCGCATCATCCAGTTACTAATGGGGGGTGCAAGAGGGCCAATGGCGTCCAAGAGTAGTACCTCAGGTGCTATATTAAATACCAACAGGACAATTGGACGGACCTCCTCCCTTTCAAGGAAGTTGTCTATAATAACTCTGTGCACTTTAGCACCAGGTTCACTCCATTTAAAGTGGCCACAGGACAAGACTTTGTAGCTATCCCTGAATTACCTCAGGTGACCCCATTGACTGCATGGCTGAAAGATTTGGTTGCCCAGTTAGAGAAGACCTAGCCAGTGGTGAGAAAAGCTTTGGATGAAACTAGGGAAGCATACAAAATACCAGTTGATAAAAAGCACATCAAGCCAAAGGACTGTAAGATGGGAGACAAGGTCTATCTCTCTACCAAATTCCTACAATTTGTACAACGGTCAAAGAAATTTGGGCTGAAATATGTTGGATCTTTCTCCATCAGAGGATTATTAACCCAGTAAGTGTAGAACTTAACCTGCCAAAAACGCTCAGACGGGTACACCCAGTATTTCATTGTAGTCTACTGAAACCTGAAATCCCATCTTCCCTGTGTCCCGAATCGCAACCACATTCCAATGCCATTATGATTGAAGGAGAGCAGAACTTTAAAGTCAAAGACATTTGAACTCTCACAAACATCAGGGGAAAATTCAGTATTTGGTAGCCTGGAAAGACTTTGCCCCTCAGAAACTGAATGGGTTGACTCCCAACATATTAAAGCGCCCAAACTGCTTTAAAAATTTCATGACTGATACCCAGATAAACCACATTGAACTGTTTGTTAATTAGGGAATTTTGTGTATTTCTCCCTCCCCTCTCTTTTTTTCTTTTGCAGGACTAATGTCTCTGTCGAGGGGAGCAGAATGTCAGATCTGGCTGGCTTTGGGGACCTCACAGGCATCCTGTTATCAAAAGAAGAAGAGGGGAAGGATGAAAGAGGGAAAAATGAAGGGGCAATAAATCTTTGTATGTATGTGATAGGAAATCAGGACGGGGAATGACAGATTAAAAGGATCAGAGCAGCTGGTTCCTGTTTGTACCAGCATCCCACAGCCAGAATGTATGTGGATTACCCCTAAACGTCTCAGAGTTCTCCAGGCATTCCATCGGCCAAGGACCCGGGGTAGGGGCGGAGGGGTAGCGGTCATTATAAGGGAGAGCCTTTGCCCAAGGGAGACCACTGTGCCTCAGATAGACGGCGTGGAGTCACTCTTCGTGAAGTGGGGGCAAGGGGTGCAAGTGGGCTTGTTGATTATATACCTGGCTCCCTGCTATGTATCAACAGCCCTGCCTG